TCACATTCAGAATATTCACCCAGCCCATAAAGGACTGTTACATTAGTCTAAATGGTTGCTAACATTAGCCATAAACTTATCTCAGGACGCCACCGCTTCTCCGCAGACCCAACACCGCCCTTCTCACCACTGCTGACCCAAACTCACCTGGCTGAAAAAAAAATAAAAAATTACTCTGTCACTTTAAAATAAATCTGATCTACAACGTTTAAAACCATGGAAGTACTCTGGTTTTAAAAATTCAAACAGCCGCATATCAAGAAAGAAATAACAAACCTAATTAATTCAAACTGCTAGCGTGGATAGCTATTGCTATTACTAACTACGTTAGCAGCAGGTTAGCTCCATTACAATCCAACATACTGTACTTTGAGTATCTTAACCTATTAACGCCCTCAGTTCCAGAGAAAATAAGGCCTCTTGTCTTTATTTCAAGATTAAACAGCTGCAACTGACATCAATTCAAAATAAAGCAGCCCCAGTTACCCCAGTCTGCTAAAAGCAAAGCAGCCATGGCTAACGAATGCTCAGCCAACACAAAGGGCTAAACTATATATAAGCTACAAATATGTGCCACCTTATTAGCTCCAGCTAGTTAGCTTAGCTCACTTAACATTACCTATTAAAAATCAACACTGTATAACATTACATACATATTTACACCACCACATTTCAGACGTACTTAGTTATTAAAAAAGTACATGTTTTTAGATGGAATATAGTGGAAAAAATACATCCCTGATAAAGAAAATCCCCCTCCTGAGTGAATCTCAGTAGCTCTGGTGGAAGTGTATGAATTTTGGAGTGAAAGTGTGATGCTGCTGTTCTAAATCATGATTTAATGGATACACAAACCCTTGAAGCTGAACTTAGAGTTAAATTGAACTACCCATGATTCTGGTCTCTGCTTATCAGAAGCGCTTTTGACCAGACAAGCTTTATTCCAGATCCCAGAACAGACTAAAAGAGAAACAAATAATGACGACCATCTAAGAGGCCTGAATTCATGACTCCATCAAATGGGGTATATATAAATATTCAAGCTTTTCAGGCACACATGAATTGTAAAATGAAACATGCAGCCTAACTTACTTTTACATCTAAGCCCATCTAATCGGTGCAAGTGGCCCATAAGAAACTGAGCATTTGTCCAGGCCATACAAAACTTCAACAGCCTCGAATGTTTCTGAAACTGCTGAAAAAAAGGAAGGTGTGAATCAGAACTGGTCATTTAATATGTGAGAGGAAGAAAAAACTTGTACTACTGTGGAAACCTTGTGCTGTACTTTTTAAATGCCAAATAAAAAGATAAATGTAAGGATATAGTGTTTATACATGTATATGATCAGTTTTAATGTGCACATGTTCAAGATTTTATATTCTCTGCAGCACAGTTTTAAACTAACCACCGTAGCTACCAGTGTAGCTTTTAATGTAAAACTAGATCACAAATTAGGGTAGAAGATTCAGTTAATCACGGGCAACAGGCTACTGGTCTATTAGCTGCTTTATCATCATCGTCAATCACCCTAGGGACACAGTAAAATCCACCTTCTGCATCACCAGAACTCCAGTTTTCAGTTGTTTGATATGATTATAGAGACAGTGACACTATCACCATACAAAAAGACTGAGCTCCATCAATATATATTAAGCGCAAGATCTTTATTACTTGGATATCGTACTGTAATGTTAATCCTTTGGTAAACAGCTCTAAAATTGATTTAAAGGTAGTTCTTATGTACTGATGAACATGTTGTACCTTTCCCAGTCTCCCATTTAGTCCTCACAAAACAAACACTGCTCTTACTAAAGTCGTAGGTTGGGTCTAAAAAATTTTAAATGACACATGATAAAATAATGGTGAATAATAAATAATGATGTCAAAGAATGTGGATCTGAATGTTCAAAGTGTTATGAATACAGTAATGATCACTGTATTGGTGCAAAAGTCAACAAAGTATCTTGAAGTAAAGTCGTCACAAACCAAACCTGTTCTTATAAAGCAGCTTTAAGTCACTTATACAAAAACACAACTCTCACAACAGCTTTAGTCAAGTACACAACAGGACACAACAGGACACAACATGTCCTTGTAATCAATAATCGCAGGACACAATCAAGTTGTTTGTGTTATTCAGGGTTGGGATAGCTACTGAAAAATTAGTAGTTAGCTACTTTATAGCTACTTTCCCAAAATTTGTAGTTGCTACAATTTAGCTACTTTTCCAGAAAGAGTAGAGGCTACTTTTTAGCTACTTTTAAAGCGCAACTGTCAATGTTTGAATCTCCACCTGACACACCAAACAAGCCCAGCTGACACACCAAACAAGCCCAGCTGACAGTGTGAACAAGACACTGCATTTAATCATGAGCCAGAAAGAAACACACAACTGAAAATATACAAAAAGATGACCAAAAAGTGTGACCAACGATCAAACTTACACACCCAAAGCTGTGATATCCAACAAAAATTAAGACTAAATGCAAAGTCAATCATTCCAGGTTTTTCCTAACAAAAATCAACAAAAGTAACTGAACACAAACTAAACAATTTGTGCAAAGCGCTGTCAACTGTTGAAATAAAACTGCTCCAATTTAAACATTTCAGCAAGATACACTGATCAGCCATAACATTCTGACCACCTCCTTGTTTCTACGCTCATTGTCCATTTTATCAGCTCCACTTACTATATAGGTGCACTTTGTAGTTCTACAGTTACAGACTGTAGTCCATCTGTTTCTCTGATACTTTCTTAGCCCCCTTTTACCCTGTTCTTCAGTGGTCAGGACCCCCATGGGCCCTCACAGAGCAGGTACTATTTGGGTGGTGGATCATTCTCAGCACTGCAGTAACACTGACGTAGTGGTGGTGTGTTAGTGTGTGTTGTGCTGGTCTGAGTGGATCAGACACAGCAGTGCTGCTGGAGTTTTTAAACACCTCAGTGTCTCTGCTGGACTGAGAATAGTCCACCAACCAAAAATATCCAGCCAACAGCGTCCTGTGGGCAGCGTCCTGTGACCACTGATGGAGGACTAGAGGATGATTAGGTCATACTGTACAGCAAGAGATGTCATCTCTGGATAAGTTGTCTGAGCATGTAAAGATCAGAGCAGTTCACTGTGGAACTGTTTACTCTGCCAGATCATCACCCAGAATCTTTAACTAACCTGTAAAATGTGCAGATACTTTTTTTTATTTAACATTAAGATTTACACATCAACACAACATGCAGCGATTCAGCAGTGCTGATTGGATGAACTAAACCATAAAAAATAAACAAAGTGACAAAAAGCAAAAATAAGGAAAAACATCAATGATTCTTCAATAATGCCTGAAATATTAAAGCAGTCAGTTTTATTGTGTTAAAGTGGAGCAGATTTGCTGGTTTTACAGAGATTTCAGGCAGTCACGTGTACATTTTCACTCTCTCTCTCTCTCTCTCTCTCTCTCTCTCTCTCTCTCTCTCTCCCGCGCCGCGTGCATTCGCTCGCCCGCGAGCACTCACGCACGTCACTATTTGAGCCAAGACTTAAAACTTATATTAAACACGGTTGATTTTGTCTCAAGACGAGAAAAAGACTGACTTAAGACCATCCTAAACACCTCACACTAAACGATCGAGATTGCGCGAGCGCGACGCGACTCTAACAAGACTCTCGTGATTTTATTCCGACAGTGGGAATTTGTCTGCGACAGTGAAATCGCGTGAAAAGTCGTTTGGTGTGAGGCCGCACAAGGAGATGACCGACAGCAGCACATGTAGTCCAGTGTTAATCCAGAACTGTTACAGATTTTAATCAGCATCAAAAACAATCAAACCCATTTTCAGTACTGTCCTGATTCTCCACTGAGTGGAATCAGGTTCAATAATTTAGAGTTTTTATCATCACTTTAAAAATGACATATCAAAAATATCACTGTGATAAATATAAGAGTGGCCACCTAAATATGAAATAAAGACATTCATAAAGACCTGATATTAATCATTTACTGTTTAATTATCTAACTGTAATGACCGTTACTGACTGTTACTGACTTCTCCACCTGACTGATGCCGCAGGTCCAGCACACGCATTTGTTCATGCTTGAAACAGTTTCAGGGACTCACTCATGTTTACAGTTCTGTTGGCAAAAACATCAGAACAATCAGACAATCTGTTCAAATCCAGACAATCATAGTTTAAAATTCTGTAGTCAGAAAATAAAAAAATGAAAATTATTTTGATCAGTGCGACAAATCTGAGAACAGAAAATGTCTGCAGTCTTTCTGTGATGATTAAATCATTAAACGGCCCAAATTCTACATTTTTCTTGTTTTTTATTTTTCTTCCGAGCTCCACTTATAATGTTTGTGTGTTTTATGTATCAAAAACAGTCATCATCCATTTTTCAGTGACCATTTTTCAGCCTCTCTTTATCCTTTTTGAAATAAACAGGCTGTTTTTATTTCTGTGCTTTTAAGCTTCATGTAAATGAGCTCTGCTATGATTGGCTGCACTGTATTGTGCTTCATTCAAAAAGCAGTCCAGGCTGAAACACTCTTATAACTTCAGTGTGAGTGGGCGGGGCTAAACTGCTGTAGGCTGAATAGGTGGATGTGTGTAAATGTGTAGGTTTTCATGACATCACAGAAACAACAAATTCAAAAAGGGCTGTTTTTTCAGCTCAGTTTCCAGTGACTGAATGGTCTGGGAGACTCTGACAGTGTTCAAACACCACATCCAGCTCTTATTTAAAAAGGGTGAAGAATATTCAGCTCTCCATGATTTGGGCCCTTTAATAGAACTTAACGGTGAGTGAACTTCATTCACTGTGACTCTGACAAAACGTCTAACATTTTTCTGACAGTCCCAGCAACAGTTTCTCTAAATGACCTTTGGTGTTGCGTCTCTTAGAACCTGTGGAAGCTGCTCCTCAGGCTGGAACTGGTCCTTCTCGGTTAGTTGTGACCAGAACATCTGTCTCAGCAATGTTCCAGAAACAGAAATAAAATTCAGAAATGTGATTCCAACCATGATCTGATTGGCTGCATTAGATGCTGTTCTTGTGGTCTTTTTCATTTGCCATCTGTAAACATATGATTATGAGAATCAATGTTTCAGAAAAAGACTAGAAATGAAAACATCAGTTAATCTTGTTTTCATTCACAGTGAATGTTCATCTTTAATACCCTGCGTCTCCATATTAAAGCTCCTTATAGCAGATTTAGGGTTTTTCCTGCTACTGTGGTTCATTTTGGGCTAACAGGGTCATCATTCATCAAGTCTCCAGAGAGAGTCGTCTTCCAGAGCAGCATCAACACTGAAACATATAAATAAAGCATAACAGAACTTTTAGTTCTAGAACCACAAAAACAACAGAAAACCATTTAAAAATGAGCACATCAGCATCTCCTCACATATTACACTGACCAGCCACTTCATTAAGGCCACCTCCTTGTTTCTACACTCACTGTCCACTTTATCAGCTCCACTGACCACATAGTTTCACTCTGTAGTTCTACAGTTACAGACTGTAGTCCATCTGTTTCTCTGATACTTTGTTACCCTGAGTGCAGAAACGAGGAGGTGGTCTTAATGAAGTGGCTGTCCAGTGTCCAGCTAAATGAGAGAGTGATATCATTCATACCAAAAACCTTTCCACTGTAATGAAATTCAGACATGAACACTTTCAGGACATCATGATAGATTTTCTGTCTCCTTTCAGGTTCATGTTTAGTTATTAGTTCCTCTGTGATCCAAAAGAAAACCTCCCTTATCAGAATGGACACAGCTGAATACTTCACAGCTACGAGAGAAAACAGAGAACATGCTGACCACATCAAACCACATTAACCTCAAACAAATAAATACATACAGCCAATTAAATATGAATATTAAATTACCTTTTTCTGGATTTATATATTTCACACCAAACCCATCTTTGTCTTTATAAACAGGTGTAACATTTGCTGCCTCTTCTTCTGGATTCAGTTCTCTTTCTCAGCTCCATAGCAGCCATTTTCCATGATGACTCCACTCTTTATAGAAAAATAACAGTTTTATTTTGATCTTTTCATATATGAAATATTTTAGTCTCTTTATTTGATTGACTGCTGCTAAAAGGAGATCCAGACAGTCTTATTACAGCTGAAGTCTCACTTTTATTATTGAACTAACTGTGAGTTTCTGAATGAGACGACTAATCAAATCAAATCGAATCAGCTGAAACGTCCTCATAAACTACAAAAACCAACACGCTCACACAAACACTTACACACACTTACACACACACACACACACACACACACACACACACACACACACACACACAGTCACTCTAATGTCTCTTCTTGTGTGCAGATTCCTGTGAGTTCACTCTGGATCCAAACACAGTGAACAGTCGTCTCTCTCTGTCTGACGGGAACAGAAAGGTGGAGTGGGTGGGATCTTCACAGTCGTATCCTGATCATCCAGAGAGATTTGATTACTGGGAGCAGGTTCTGTGTAGAGAGAGTCTGACTGGACGCTGTTACTGGGAGGCTGAGTGGAGCGGAGATGTTAATATAGCAGTAACATATAAATCAATCAGCAGGAAAGGAGACAGTTATGACTGTCGGTTTGGACGGAATGTAAAGTCCTGGAGTCTGATCTGCTCTAATAACAGATACTCTGTCCGTCACAATAATAACAGCACTGAACTCTCTGCTCGTCCCTCCAGCTCTGAGACAGTAGGAGTGTATCTGGACTGTCTGGCCGGCTCTCTGTCCTTCTACAGTGTCTCCACTGATAAACAAACACTGACCCATCTACACACTTTCAACACCACATTCACTGAACCGCTCTGCGCTGGGTTTAGAGTCGGTTATGTTTATGTTTGGGGTGAAGGCTCCTCAGTGTGTTTAAAATAAAATAACCTCCTGAGTGAAAATCACACAACACACATACACAAACACACACACACACACACACAGAACACACACACACACACAGAACACACACACAGAACACACACTCACACAGATACACACACACACACACACACACACACACAGAACACACTCACACACACAGAACACACACACACAGAACACACACTCACACACACACACACAGAACACACACACACAAAACACACACACACACAGAACACACACACACACACACAGATACACACACACAGAACACACACACAGAACACACACACACAGAACAGACACACACAGGAAAACAGTAATTATTCATTTTATATGATCATTTTTTATCTTTATTCTTTATAATTAAACAGTCTGTATTTGTTTCTGTGCCTTTAAGACTGATATATGTAAATGAGCTCTGTTCTGATTGGCTGTGCTGTATCAGTTCAGTCTGTGTTTCTCTGGTTTGGAGGTGATTCAGATGGAGATGATGTACAGAATCAGTGAAAGATCAATAAAGAGCTGATTAAACTCTCATAATTATGATCATTAATAAATAAAGTGTTGATAAACTCAGATCTGATTTATTTACACCTGAATAGACGAAACAAACTGAGCTTAAAGTGAAACTGAAACACCTTTCAGGGTGAATAGAGGAAAACAGGTTAGCATAGAGCTAACAAGCTATTACACAGCTAACAGGTTAGCATAGAGCTAACAAGCTATTTCACAGCTAACAGGTTAGCATAGAGCTAGCAAGCTATTACACAGACAACAGGTTAGCATAGAGCTAACAGGCTATTTCACAGCAAACAGGTTAGCATAGAACTAACAAGCCATTTCACAGCTAACAGGTTAGCATAGAGCTAACAAGCTATTTCACAGCTAACAGGTTAGCATAGAGCTAACAAGCTATTTCACAGCTAACAGGTTAACATAGAGCTAACAAGCTATTTCACAGCTAACGGGTTAGCATAGAGCTAACAAGCTATTTCACAGCTAACAGGTTAGCATAAAGCTAACAAGCTATTTCACAGCTAACAGGTTAGCATAGAGCTAACAAGCTATTTCACAGCAAACAGGTTAGCATAGAACTAACAAGCCATTGCACAGCTAGCGCGTTAATATATGGCTAACAAGTTATTTCACAGCTAGCGGGTTAATATATAGCTAGCAAGTTATTTCACAGTTAGCCGGTTAATATATAGCTAGGAAGTTATTGCACAGCTTGCGCATTAATAAATGGCTGACAAGTTGTTTCACAGCCAGCGGGTTAATATATAGCTAACAAGTTATTTCACAGCTAGCGTGTTAATAAATGGCTAACACATTATTTCATAACTAGCGGTTTAATATATAGCTAGCAAGTTGTTTCACAGCTAGTGCGTTAATATATAGCTAGCAAGTTATTTCACAGCTAGCGTGTTAATATATAGCTAGCAAGTTATTTCACAGCTAGCGTGTTAATATATGGCTAGCATGTTATTTCATAACTAGCAGGTTAATATATAGCTAACAAGTTATTTCACAACTAGCATGTTAATATATGGCTAGCAAGCAATTTCGCCGCTAGCGCGTTAATATATGGCTAGCAAATAATTTCGCAGCTAGTGGGTTAATATATAGCTAGCAAGTTATTTCACAACTAGCATGTTAATATATGGCTAGCAAGCAATTTCGCCGCTAGCACGTTAATATATGGCTAGCATGCAATTTCGCTGCTAGCGCGTTAATATATGGCTAGCAAGTAATTTCGCAGCTAACGGGTTAATATATAGCTAGCAAGGTGTTTCACAGCTAGCGGGTTAATGTATAGCTAAAAATTTATTTCACAGCTAGCTTAATATATACCTAACAAGTTATTTAAAAGCTAGCGGGTTAATTCATAGCTAGCAAGTTGTTTCACAGCTAGCGGGTTAATATATAGCTAACAAGTTATTTAAAAGCTAGCGGGTTAATTTATAGCTAGCAAGTTGTTTCACAGCTAGCAGGTTAATATATAGCTAGCAAGTTATTTCACAAGTAGCATGTTAATACATACCTAGCAAGATATTTCACAGCTAGCGCATTAATATATAAATAGCAAATTATTTCACCGCTAGCATGTTAATATATGGCTAACGAATAATTTCGCAGCTAGCGGGTTAATATATAGCTAATATATAGTTAGCAAGTTATTTCACATCTAGTGCGTTAATATATACCGAGCAAGTTATTTCACAGCTAGCCTGTTAATATATAGCTAGCAATTTGTTTCACAGCTAGCGGGTTAATACGCATCTAGCAAGTTGTTTCACAGCTAGTGGGTTAATATGTAGCTAGCAAGTTGTTTCACAGCTAATGGGTTAATATATAGCTAGCAAGTTATTTCACAGCTAGCTGGTTAATATATAGCTAGCAAGTTGTTTCACAGCTAGTGGTTTAATATATAGCTAGCAATTCCTTTCACAGCTAGCGGGTTAATATATAGCTAGCAAGATATTTCACAGCTAGCGGGTTAATATATAGCTAGCAAGTTATTTCACAGCTACCCAGATAGCAGACAGTTCTGGCCCGATTCTGGGTCACATTCGCGAGTGTTGTTTGAGTTCCGGATAGATATCAGACATGTGGGCCACAACTGGGCCAGATGCTGGACAACTGTGTAAGGTTTTGACTCATGTTTACGTTTAAGGGCCAATTCTGGTATGAGTGTTGTGGCCCAACAATGTGGTTGATGGAAAAGGACCACGGCACAATTAAGTTGCAGGAGATTTGTACTCGGTTGACTTACACCTCAGTACTTTTGGCCCAAGTGTGGCATGTCATAAGTGGCCCACTGGAATAGCAGACCTTTCTGGGCCGATTCTGGCTTACATCCGCGAGTGTTGGTTGACTTTTAGGATGGATATTAGGCATGCAGGCCAGACGCTGGACGGCTGTGTATGGTTTTAACTCGTATCTCCTTTTAAGGGCCAATTCTGGCATAAATGTTGTGGCCCAACAGTGTGGATGAAGGAAGAGGGCCGCACCTTAATGATGTGGCAGACCAGTGCTCGTTGATTTGCGTCTCAGTACTTTTGGCCCAAGTCTGGCATGTCATTTGTGGCCCATTACTGAAGTTACAGAAAACAGCTGACACTCGCTGTAAGGGTTAAAACACTCATTTAACAAATTTTCCCGCCCAAGTTCATCATTTTCAAATGGACAAGCCAGCAGCCAGGGCTGAAGAGAAGACAAATTCTCTTCAAGAAGACAAAGAACTAGAGGGTAGGTGATATACTTTAAAATCACATGTACATACGCTAACATCATTTGTGGTGTGTAAGTTTAGTTCAGTGAGATTAACTATTTTGAATTATTGCGGAAAATGAAAAGTTAGAACTATAGGTAACACTTGAAAAGCACAGGCTAGCTAGATTAATGAAATGGTCAATCAGTTCAAGGTTTAGTTACGTTATCCTTCATTGCTAATTCGTCGTGAATAATGTTAACTTATTCCTTTTAGCTAAATGTTCAGAGTAGTTAACTGTCGTTAGCTCGCGGTTAGCGGGTTAGCTCAGTGCTTTAACCCAAGCTAAAGCGCTAGCTCCGAGCTAAAGTGCTAACCGCGAGCTAATGTTAGCTAACTACTCTGAGCATTTAAAGGAATAGCCGGTGATTTTCAAGTGTTCACCATAACGGTGTAGCATGTTAGTTTGCGGTTAGCACGGTAGCTCTGAGCTAGCGCGTTGTCTTGACAGCAGTGTTAAGTCCTCTCATCTGCACACACATCACCCTTCTGTGTAAGTCAGTGGAACCAGAAGAAAACAGTTTAAAACGGGTGCTGTGGTTGTTCACCTGAGGAGATATCTCCAGGCTCATATGAAGGTTCATTGTCAGGAGCGCTTTACGTTAGTAAGACCTGTAAGTAGCTTAATTTTGATTATGGGTTTCTTAATGTTTGTTAGAACAAAACCTTTCTTGTTGACTACAGATCTTGCAGTTGTGGAGTTCTTGCCTCATTATTCAGTTTCTAAAGTAAAACCCTCTGTTCCAGACCAGCTGGTATTGGGGTTCTGTGACTGCTTACAGTGGAACAACTTCCAAAGTGACAGAGCTCATTCAGTCTGTAGAGCGGACTGTTGGAAATGCTGATTGTGGTGTTGCTCCAGATTGTCAGGTAAAGGGATTTGTTGTACAGTGTAACACAAAAAACTGTTATCTGGAAGTCAGTTAAAGAAGTAAATGATAGCTGAATGCTTTTCCTCTTTCCTCAAGCATCAGGAGGTGGACAGGTTTTGACCGATGTAGAATTTTAGGAAGTTTTTACATTAGAACAAGTATTTTTATTATACTTTATTATATTTTTATTATACTTCGTTATACTTTTATTATTATTATTATTATTATTATTATTATTATTAAGGTCACTGAATAACTGTTATTGTCTAGTATTTTAAATACATTTTTCAACAACAAATCACTTCAAACTTAGATTATTTATTATGTTACTATAGGTTATGTAATTAAGAAAAAAACATACGTTGCTTGTTTTATCTTGCGTATTCACAAGCTGTTGTCTGAGGTTAATATACAACAGACCAAAACACTTCTGTTTTGTATGTTTGCTTTTGTGCATCAGTATTTTTTCTACTTGTTTTTCTACTAAATGTTTCTAATTGTGATACACAATAAACAGTCTGAATACATGCTAAATGTTTTTGCTTTTTGTTTTGTTTAAGGGATTCTGCACTGGTAAAAATTAATGTATGCAAAACAAGGCAAAATGATCATAATATACCCACGTATATTTTACAGTATATGGGCCAGATCTGGGCCGGGGACCCAGCCAGAATTGGGCCGGAACTCAACCAAGGATGTGGCCCACAAGTGGGCCAGATAAATTTTAGCTAGCAAGTTGTTTCACAGCTAGCGGGTTGAGATATAGCTAGCAAGTTGTTTCTTAACTAGCGGGTTAAGATACAGCTAGCAAGTTATTTCTTAACTAGCGGGTTAAGATACAGCGAGCAAGTTATTTCTTAACTAGCGGGTTAAGATATAGCTAGCAAGT